AAAGCTGGAAAAAATCATAAAGAACACTAATATCACCCAGTTTCACCAATAGAACATTCTTTTATATAAATACAAGATTATTTTAAAAAGTTCATGGAAAGATTCATATTACCTTAATTCTGTTTTTTCACAAACTTTTTGAAATACCCTTATATAATGCCATTTGTACTCCCAAATATGTTTGGAATGTTTGCTGTTTTTTAACATTGATACACTAGTATTATCTAATAGAGACTCCATACTTAAATTTCTCCAGTTGTTCCAGTAAAGTTTTTATTGTCTTTCATGACTTAGACAATTTTGAAGAGTCCAGGCCAGTGCTTTATAAAACGTTCCTATAATCTGAATTTCTCTAATTGTTTCTTTGTGATTAGATTCAGACTAAACATTTTTGCCAAAAATACTGCACAGATGATGGTGTGTTCTTGCAGTGCATCATATCAGGAGGTAATGAGTCAGTTTGTCCTGTTATTGGTGATATAAAGTTTGATCACTTGGTTAAGGTGGTAACTGCAATATTTCTACATTTTAGAGGTACCCTTGTGTATTGTAATTTTCCCCCTTTCATCTGATGGTTTTAATATCCATTGATGATACTTACCTGAATCAATTACGCACTGATGTGTTAGCAGAGTGTTAATTTTTCTAGTTTTTTTACTCCTTTTGTATATATCAGATGGAATCTTCAGAATCAAACTCAAGTCTTTCTGACACCAAAGCTCATGCTCTTCACCACATGAACTACCTTTCTAATATGTAAACAAATAAAGCTAGTCATCTGATGCTGCTGGAAAATAAAACATTTTAATTTCATCTCTCGTTTAGAGCTCCATTTTCTTTTCTCTTGGCACAAATGGACCCCTTTGTAGCTTTGAAACCTACTTTAAAACCACAAGACTATAGCACTCGCAGAGCTGTTATTTTTAGGGCTCACATGTGAAGGAATTTTTTGAAATAGGTAGAGAATGTCCAGATCAGGTTCTCTTCCTCAGCATGCTCCCACCCCCTGGAGGGTCCAGTTTTGCTTGCTTGCGTCCTTGCTTGCTTGCTTCATTGATTGATTTCTTGGGGAAGGGGGTGTTGGAATCAAAATGTCAATTTGGGGGCCGGCCCGGTGGCGCACTGGATAGTGTGCCGCTTGGGAAGCGCGGCGGCGCTCCCGCCCGAGGGTTCG